GTTCGGACACTTCACTTCGTGGCCTGCGGACGACCGTGGCTACTACACTGGCGTGGAGTACACACCCACAGAAGTTGTTAGGACAGCGCGCGCGGGTAGAAATTTTGAAAAGTCGTGCAGGTGTTTTTCGAGGACCTACGGTGCGATTCGTGTGATTTTATGATGCGCGGTGCTAAAATTCTTAAGAAGCCCAATGGTTTTTGGAGATTTCGGCGTGCGCGCGCGAAGAAAAAACGAATGTGTCCCGCATGGTATTATTTGACAGGGATGATGGCCCTGGCAGGTGCGCAACCGTTGTCGCAGAAGTTCGAAAAAGTTGCTCGCAAAAGCCCGTTTGACAGAAATGTTTAAAAAGTGTTGGGTTTCCTACGAATCCGCAAGAGCGCGCGGGATGAGATTTTGACATTTTTTTGTTGAAAAACCATTGGTTTTTTGATGTTTTTATGTTAAAATCGCTCCGAACACTAAGCTTTTGGAAGGATTTCGTCTTGCGCGCGCGAATGTCCACTTTACCTTATTTTTTGCAAGGGATTCTTGAAATTTGATTATATTAGAACAAGAAATGTCATTTTATAGTGTTTTTTGCAAGGGAAAACGGATTACAACAAAACAACCGGATCTTGATGACATCGTATTACCTGAGGCTTCCTCACGAAAATGATGAAAATGTAGCTGCGGCCTAGGCGGCGCAGGGGGGCCGTGCACCAGGGGTCCCAACAATAATTATTCTTTAGAATTAATAATGTTCAACAACGACGACGACGACGACGACGACGACGACGACGACGACGACGACGACGACGACGACAACGGCAACGACAACGACAACGACAACGACAACGACAACGGCAACGGCATCGACAACGACAACAACAACAACAACAACAACAACAACAACAACAACAACAACGCAACAAGCAGAATCCTCACCACGGATTCTCACTTCAGCCACGCACTCAGGGACATTGAATGACCGTTCGGCCCCCTCACTCTGATAAGCACCCCGACAAGCGAAGCCGTGTAGCAAACGCACCCGAGGAAGGAACCGAACAGGGCAGGGGTGCTTTGTAAACGCTCAGGGCCGCTCAGTAAACGCCAACTATCGAGGTCGGGGCGAGCTTTCCTCCGAAGCGTCTCGAAACGCGCCTGCCTAAGATACAGGCGAGTGGCAACTCTTTCACCCCAGGCAGCTCCGCCCAGCTTCCGGCCCCGGGACCATCACAAATCGATCCAGCGCGCGAAAGCGCCGCGGAAAGACAGGGTCTGGTGCTCTGGCTCTGGTCGTGATTTCTGGCAATGTAGAATTCGCAACGTCGGATCTCAGGGACGACTTCCGTCAGGCCACTGCGGTGACCTAGATGCTCGTTCTGGGCATCTTCCAGGAGCCACTCGTTCAACTCGTGTGCGAAGCTGCGTCAGAACGTCCGTCAACCTGAGCCGAGCTTGAATCGAACTTGACTCGAGGTTGAGTCGGGCAAGAGTCGAGCCAGATTCGAGCTAGAGCCGAACAGATCTGCCAGGGGGCTTCCAAAAGCGTGGCGTCCAAGGGGTGTCGCCCAGCGTGGCCCCGGGCATGTGCGCGGACGAGGGGTGGACCAGCGAGCTTGCCGAAAGCAAAAGAGGGGGCCACGGAACCCACAGGGTGACGGGGTCACGGCACCACCATTTGCGAAATCAGCGCCCGCAACGAAACATGCCAAAAGAGCCCGCCCCCCGCAACCCGTCTTCTCAAAGTTGGCGGGTCACCAAGCTGGAGGGGAGCGCAAAGTGCTGCGAATTAGAATTGGAGGAGAAAACCAAGCAAAGCAATAACCAACAGCAGCAACAGCAACAACAACGACGACGACGACGACAACGACAACAACAACAACAACAACAACAACAACAACAACAACAACAACAATCATTTAAGACTGGGGACACTCCGTTCTCACCAGTGCCAGGGTTTTCATAGGAGGCGGGCAATACCCCCACTTTGTGGGGGGGCCGGTTCAAGCTCTACCAAATTTCCAAACGACTCTTCGCCACCACCCACACCCAGCTTCCCGCCCTATGACGTTCGGACACTTCACTTCGTGGCATGCGGACGACCGTGGCTACTATTCAGGGCCCCGCGGCCGACGACGACGGCGTGCGCGCGCGAAGAAAAAACGAATGTGTCCCGCATGGTATTATTTGACAGGGATGATGGCCCTGGCAGGTGCGCAACCGTTGTCGCAGAAGTTCGAAAAAGTTGCTCGCAAAAGCCCGTTTGACAGAAATGTTTAAAAAGTGTTGGGTTTCCTACGAATCCGCAAGAGCGCGCGGGATGAGATTTTGACATTTTTTTGTTGAAAAACCATTGGTTTTTTGATGTTTTTATGTTAAAATCGCTCCGAACACTAAGCTTTTGGAAGGATTTCGTCTTGCGCGCGCGAATGTCCACTTTACCTTATTTTTTGCAAGGGATTCTTGAAATTTGATTATATTAGAACAAGAAATGTCATTTTATAGTGTTTTT